TTGTATGTTCCTATTGTTGTAGCTTCAGCTGTTTTCACACAAGCTGGCATTACTGCCCCTGCAAGCAATCCTGCTGAGGATAAACTGAAGAAGTTAATATAAATCGGTGAAGTCGACGAGTGTTATGGAAAGCAGTCCTGCTGAAATTTGATATACATGGTCTTTCAAGAAGCAGCATAAACGGTATAAAGTTAGCCTCCGACTGTGTTTACATTTGCAATATCTATTTCTATGGGGGCAAGTAACCCTATGAAAAGCGTGCATTTGTCTGGTTATATGTGTTCGCTTTGATCTGTTTATTTCCGCATCTCTATAAACTATTAATACATCATTTTGTGTCTATATTATTGTATTCACTGTGTCTCTCTGTTTGCGCATCTCTTCTGTGGCTGTGCTGTACTTGTTTTCGACTGAAAAACAAGGAAAGCTGGTTGCGTTGTGCTGAATATTCAAATAAACAAATCAATATACAAAGAATTATATTAATTTTTGGGGGTACTAACGTGACACTAACGGCGAATCGCAAATGGCTATGCAGTTGTTCATATGCTTAATTTTCGTTTTCGTGGTCTTTCTGTTGTATGGCTTCTGATATTCTTTAGATATTAAGTGATTTCAGATATCAATTCAACTCTTTTGATATGAATTTCTTTGTTTCAGTATCTACTGCACCAACATAGAGCTCGTCTGTCTAGCAGAGATGTACACGGATAAATAATGATATTCACGGACAAACAAGAGTCGGATCATAATAACAAGTCGGACGGAAAACCGCAACCACCATGCGAGGTGGAAAGGCCTCAGAATGTAAAGTTTACACTCTGATATTTCTTCATAGATTCGCTGCTTTTCACCTCAATGCTCTATCCAGCATGTTGCTCCGAGCAGCAACTAGAGTTAGGCTAATCACGCAGCAAGTGATCCTCAGCATACTGAGGCAAACAACGGTGGTTTCGACAGCTATTCGCTGTGCATACGGGAGGACGGATAAGCGGAATAACTAGGTAGCTAGCTAGCTAGCTACCTACCTAGGCGGCGA